TGCTCCAGCTTGCTGCACTGCAAACCACCTTTGCTGGCACTTTAGTGTATGCTGCCCATGAAATTGAAATGCTTCTAGTTGAATTAGCTCTCACTTCCAAAGGTGGCGGCAAGCCTAGGACGTTGTAGACATTCTGAATGGTCTTGACAATGTGGGTAGTACTGTGAAGCCCTTTCTTGGACCTTGAGGGAAGGTATAAAGACTATCTCGTTCACTGATGTCCTCTGTGCATTTCAGATATACTGGGAATGAATGAACCAGATCTAAATTCTTCCACTCATCCTCTGACCCATCTTCCAGAAAAGGGATATGGGATGAAGTTGAAATTTGTTTGGAAAAAATTTGGGACCTGTCTCAGAATGACCCTGTTTTGGAGTATCCAGCAGTATGGCTCTTTAGTTAAAAAGGAATACATGTCAGATACTCTCCTTGTGGTAACAATTGCCATCAAGAAATATGTCCTTAGAGCCACATGGAATAAGGAACACGAAGTTATCGGGTAAAATGGTGGTGCCAGCAAGGCATTGAAACCAAGTGACAAATTCCTACTAGTGATCTAATCTTCACTACTGCCTTCAGAAATGAATGACCAAACGGTTAAAGGCCCATCTTTTACTTGCCATGGCCAAGAGGACTGAAACTAGAATTTGGAACTAATTTAAATGATTTTGCAGGAATTTAGGAACATTAGATACCGAGGGAGTTGAAGCATTCCAATTTTTTGCCAGAAAGAGTCCCAAAAGAGAAAGATATAGCAGGAACTTCGTTGATTGCAGTTGACTCTTTTGATGGTTGATTATCCACCCAAAGCATTTAACATGTTACAGGTTAGAGACACGTGATCCAACAGAAGACTCCTTGACAGGGCCAACAGAAGGATGTCATCGAGGTAATGAAATATATGAAGACCCCTGAGTCTCAGAACAGCTATGATGGCTGATAGCAGCCTTGTGAAGGTTCTGGGAGTGGTGCAAAGCCCGAATGGCAAAGAACAAACTAGAAAAGTGCCCCCTTGTACGCAAACCTGAGAAAGGGATAATGAGCCAGAACTATGGGGGCATGCAGATAGGTGCCTGCTAAATCCACTGAGGCAATCCAGTCTCTGATTTTTACTACAGAAATGATGACCTCCCAGGAATCCATCTTGAAAGGAGGGGCCTTCATAAATGAACTCAGATATTCCAGGTCTAGAACTGGTCTGAAGGCGCCTGAGGACAGAACCAAAGAGGAACACTTGTCTTCTCCCCATTCTTGTCTTGGTACAGGAAAAATAGCTTGAGCTGTTAACAATTCCTTTATATATGCATGCAAACAATTCAGTTTATCTGGACACATTGGTACCCCAAGGGGCCTTTTTTCAAATTCTAGCAGATATCTACTTCAGATGATATCTAGAATTCAAGCATCCTCCACTTCTTCCACACACAGACCTCCCTAAATAGAGACAATTTTGCTCCCACTTGAGAGGGCTGGGTGGAGACTCCTTCTGAAGGCCTTGTCGAAAGACCTAACTGGCTGGTTTGATTTGGACTGGACTCCCTTGGCAAATGCTGCACTGCCATTCTTCCAATGTCTGAAAAATGGCCAACCAGGCCTATACACACTGGCTTCTTTGAAACGATTCTTAACTCTTCTAAAAGAGCAAAAGGACTGACTTTGCCATCTCTTCTCCTGAAGGATAAGGTCTGACTTCCCACTAGATACCAGCTGAATGGCAGCATTAAGGTCTTGACAAAATGGGGCTTCCAAATTGAGCCAAGGCTGTGTTTAGAGGCATTGTCAGCAGACAAATGCTTTAGCCATAAGGTTTTTTTGGTGTTACTGTGTGAGCCATTAACTTTGCTGTCATTCTGACTAGATCCACTGCCACTTTAGCAATGAACTCAACAGCTATCCTGAATAATTGCACTTCTCCTGAATCACAGGACTTCATTTCTACCATTCACAGTTTGAGGGCCATAGGGGATAGTCCTGCCACACTGTACATCCTCTTCAGATCTGTATCAATATTGAGGTCCATTGGATCCCTAAAAGACACTGAACCTTCAAGTGGAAGCGTTATGTGGCTAGCCAGTCTTTGTAGAGAGGTGGATACTTTGGGAACTATATTCCATAATTTGTCATCCCTTTGACACACTTTTTTTTTTCTCTGTCTTTTGGGTGAAGAACTTTTTGCTGTGTCTCAAATGTACAATTTTACTTGCTGTGCGTCTGCAGCTTTGTCAAGTGCTCCCTAAGATAGGATGTGCACACCAGTTTACCAACTAATTCGCCTGGCAATGCCTCAGCTGAACAGCCCCAACAAGCCTCTACTTCAGGGGGGGGTTGGAGAAGAGGCTCTGGAAGAGGTAGAAGACCTTTTCCTGTGCTTGCCAGAGGATTTACTCTTCTTGGAAGCGTTTTGGTGATGTGATTTTCCTCATCCCATTTCTGTACAACTGCAGTGGGCCACTGGCGATGGCTTCCTAGAACAACCACTTGGTGGATGTTTAATCCACCCTGGACTGTTCTGGTGAAGCAACTTGTACTGGACAACAGGAGACAGGATTGTTTAGGACCGAGGTCTTGGCGGACGCTTTATTCCGCGCTGGAGTCTGCTTGCTGCCAAAAAGGTACACAGATAGCACTTGTAAAAAGTAGCAATAAATAGGTAGGCTGACATGGGGAGGTCCAGGAAAGTGCATATATATATATATATTATATATATATATATATATAAAAATATACCAATATACCAGCACATTAAAAGCTGACACTCAGTTAAGTCTGCTGTGAATTCTGTTGTTCTATGTTTAAAGGATATGTTCACCTTGTTTTTAGGGTGGAGCATGTAACATGTTCCCAATGCTGCAGCCGCTGCTCAATTCCCCTCCCCCACCCAATTCCCTGTTACAGCAGTACGGGGAGAAGTTCCCTGTACTAGCTGCTAGTTTTTTAATCAGCACAGCCGTGTGAGGGTTTCGCCCGTACATGCTCTATGGGCAGCAGATATTCTGGCAGGTCTGCAAGAGACCTGCATGGCACCAGTGATCTGCTGATTGCTGGTGCAATGCTTTATAGGCTCCTGCAACAAAAAATAATAAAAGCACATTTTCTTTACCTGCAAACAAAATTAAAAGTCAGCAGCTACAAATACTGTAGCTGCTGAATTTTACTAAAAGGCCACTTACTTGTCCAGGGATCCAGCATTGTTCTCACCTGGGCTGGTTCTTCACTGGTCTTTGGATCCCCAGGGTTGCCATGCCAACTGTGGGAAGGCAGCTGTGACCCTTTGCGGAGTCACAGCTGGCTCCCCACTGTGCATGTGCGAGATGCACTGCACCCTGTGAATGGTCCTGCGGTCTCCTGGAACCAGTGACATATCACAAGAGCCTGTGGGCAAGAGGGGAGGGGGCACCTGAACTTCCGTTCACATTGTCAAGACCAGGTACCTGCCCCCCGCCCCAAAAAAAAAAGTGTCCAAAAGTTGGAGGAGGGGGGAGGCAGAAGAGTGGAACTTCCTTGTAGGGGAGAAGTTCCGCTTTAACATGATTTTTTTAAGGTGGCATCAAAATGACAGACATTTCTTAGCTGGGTTTAGTGGATAGAAAATCTGTTTAATGTGCTTTAAATATCATTCTCTATTATGTGTACATATACATATAATTTCTTTGGTTTGTAAAATGTTTGTCTATTTATCCTTGAACTCAATTGAAACCTTTTTTTACATAAAGCAGCTTGTAATTTATCTAATGAATTACGTAAGCTTGTGGTTCAACACAGCTGCTCCAGTCTCTTGGCTGTTTGTAGTCCAGGAATACGTCTAGGTTGTATAAATCTGGTAAATTCACCATGAAAGGCTGGGAACATTACATAAATGATAAGATTATGATAGAAAATGAGTTGAACACTATTGAGTTTGTACATTCTCATTCCATATTCTGTGTGTTGTGATTGTTGAATAACTTCACACTAGACAGTATTGTTTAGTGTAGAAATGAAAAAGTGATGCATTACATTAACTGTCAAATCCAGTGGTACCTGCTTTAGTGCTCAAAAACACCACCTAGTTCAATGCAGGTAAAAGGCCAGTAAGTGATCAGGTCCTTTGCTGTATTAATATAAGTCTGCATGCCATTAGTATTACACTAATACTAACATACATTGGCTGTTCTGCATCTCTGCCACTCAGAAGGAGTAGGACTCCTGGAGTGCTTTATGTGGAACTTATCTACACAGTGGGGATAATCACTATGAACTGGTAGAGGGAAGGACCACTTACCTGTGCAAAAGTGCAACATTAGAAAATGATTAATTGAAAATAAAATACAATTTATTCCCCTACTTACTTTCCACAAGTGAAATAAAATCCACTTAAATATTGTGTGTTGATACTCCTATATTCAGAATTCTAGTTCGGGGATCAAGAGTTCCTTTAGTCCGCACAGAACAAAAATGAATTTCATTGACATTCACAGAACATGGGAAGCTTATAGTTTTCCCCTTGCTGTTACTGATTAATTAGTTAATCCACTTTTTTTTAAATAGCAGAGCCGCAGGAAATTGCAAAACGCTGCAAAAACACGTGTACACGTGGTACCGAGTTTACAAACGTTTTGCTGAATTACGTGTTTTCCCACAGCCTTGGTCAGGATAGGCTAGTGTACATGTAGCCTAACACTAACTTGCAAAATAATTTTTACGGAAGTAAGGGGCAGTCCTTTGAGATGCAGTACATTTGCAGTATAGGTACGGTATAGTTTCGTCACATGTGTAAGGTAGATATAGTTCAGATGCGGTAAAGGTTCAGTATAGGGTTGGAATAGGTGAAGCTTAGGTTTGGAACAAGTGTAGCATAGGGTGCAGTATGGATTGGGTACACTTGGTGTCCTGATAATATAATATTGTTTGTTTTTAATTGCATGGTTTATATACATCCATAAAAACATTTTTAATAACAGGTATTATATCTTTTTACAGCCAATACCTACACTGTGGAGACCATTTGGCTGTGATTCAAAATGGCTGCTATTGTCAACCACAAAACATCCTACCCACTGCTGCATAGACTGTCTGTAAGGACTATTGATGAAGATATAGAAAGAATTGAAAATGGAGCAAGCAGGTATGATAATGTCTTACATATCTAAATTTAAAAAAGCCGCATATCCATCAAGCTCAGTTGATGTTTTTTTCTTGCCTTTTTGGCAAGAGCAAGCAGGTCCATTTAAAATCCTGTACATACTGATGATAATTATGTCCCTGGTATGCAATTCTTCTTATACTGTATCTTATCATAGCTTCTTCAGCTAGAAAAATGTGGATTTGCCAATACAGGCGGATTTTCTGTGTCACCATTAGTTGGTGAAAGAGGCACAATAAGGTATAATGAGTACCTGGTCTTTACCAGGCCTCTGGTGGGGATGTGTTTGGCTATATTGCTGCTGTTAGTTTGACCCCATTAGGAATTCTTTACCAGTGACATCAGACAATAGGACAGGGCCAGACAGGGTTCTATATTGTAATCAGGTTCAGGCCAGAAATCAGGGCAGTCTGCAATCAGTGAAAAGGGCAGAAGATCAAAGTAGGCAGTGAGGCCTAACCAAGGACCAATAACAAGTGACATAAGGACAAAGGTAGCAGACTGGAGTATTCACTGAACAGGATCCAATAGGCTGAAATGAAGTAAAAGGTTGCAGACCCTAAGGTTGCAGACCCTAAATTCAAAGCTCATAGTGAAAAATGATTATTGTTATTAAGATACTCATGGAATCTATACAACTTCCCCTCATTACTCCTCCAGTTAATCAAGATTTCATGTTTTGCACCACCCATTCCATAAGAGTATTTTTTAGGTTTTTTCGTTTGTAAAAATGCAAAGCTCCTACCACTAGCTCATAAACGAACTGGCTCAAATGTATGACAACAAATCAATAAAGTAAGGAGCAAAATAAATATTTCCTATAATTATGCACTATAAGGGTCCTATTTAACATTCTCCACAAAAGACAAAAGGTGTTTTGTATCTTTGATATAAACTGGAATCCTCCCAACTAGTAGCTAAAGACATGTGTCAAGCTACTTACATATAGGTTTCCATATCATGTAGTAAAACACTCTTACTTAGTGGTAACAATTAAACGGCATAAATCCAAAAAGTCTGTATGCAGACTTGATCCTTGTGCCCTAAAAAATATCCGAAATATCCCTATGGGCGCAGTTGAGTGGCTTGCAGAGACGCGGGGGAGCCGCCACTCTCATGCACATCGATGGATCGAGATTGGTCTCAGGTAAGTATAAGGGGAAGCTGGGGGGTGGGGGGGGGGGGCTGCACCCAACTGCATACAATGCATTGAATGAAACTCATCCAGATTGCTCTAGCTCCAGTAGTAGGGCAGGAGGAGAGGTTAATGGGTCGATGAGGAAATGAAGGATCTATGTCATCTACAAAGGCATTAATTTTATATACTTTTTCATGCATTTGTATGCCTTTAATCTCTGGGTTAGCATGTAAACTCCACAGGAACAGATCTACAGGTAAAACAGAAATAATAGGTGATGGGGAAGCCCTGACGTGTATCGTTTGTGATTGTGAAGGTGTCTCACTGGTAGCCATTAACTTTGACTCTTGCCTGGGGCTCAACATTTAAGGGACAAATCCTGTTGCACATGTTGCTACCCAAGCCAAGCGAAGGAGACTACACTATAAAGACTATAAAGTTCAAGGCCACCCTGTTGAATGCCATCTCGATATCCATTGAAAGGAAGACCCCCAGTGTGGCCTCTTTAGTCAGCTATCTGAATATTGTGAGCCTTGGTGATATTATCATGGACTTCTCTTCCCAGAATAAAACCCACCTGATCTGGTGAAATCCAGGACGGTAGGAATGGAAGTGACAATTCGTTAGGATCTTCACATATATTTAAATATCAACACTAAGTAACGAAGGTGGTAACTTGTGACTAAAGAGGGTTTTCCTTCATATGAAAAACTGTGATATGGGCTGAAAGCAGTTGGTTATTTACATAGTTACATAGGTACATAGTTAGTCTGGCTGAAAAAAGACAAAAGTCCATCCAGTACAACCATAAAAAAAAAAAAAAGTTATAATCTTATACCCACAGTTGATCCAGAGGAAGGCAAAACAACCCAGCAAAGCATGAACCAATTTGTTACTGCAAGGAAAAAAATTCCTTCCTGAACACCAAAGAGGCAATTGGATATTCCCTGGATTCCCTGGTTGCTGAGGGTTGTCAATGAGGAAATTAAAAGCTTGCAGGAAATCAGAAATTAGGGATCTATCAAAGCTTTTTTAATATTTCACAGGTAGGCCATCCAGGCCTGGGCTCTTGGCCGGTTTCATCTGTTTAAGAGCTGTATTAAGTTCCCTATCACTGATTGTTTTTTTTAGTTTCGCCACCCCCCTTCTGCATTACTGGAGGGGAATGTTCTGTAGTTGACAGAGAGAACTGGGAAAGCTGATAACATTGTATGAGTTTTTGGTGCGGTGCACAGGATGATGCAAAGAGCCAAGATTTATACCAGGACCAGCTGGTACTGTATATTTCTGTACTTGCTGAAAATGTACTGAGCAACATAATATATTTTTGTTCTTGGGTTTAAACATACTTTTTATCCTAGAGCAGGGGTACTGAATTAAAACTCATGGAGGTCCGACCAGTAAAATTTTCTTCCAACAAAGGTCCAAACCGCATTTTTTTTTTTTCAGCCTCTCCTGCTGTATATCACAATCCCTATACTTCAGTGTCCTCAGTCCCCCTCCCCCCACCATACATCACAGTCCCCAACTTCACATCAGTTTCACCTTCACGGTAGTGTTCTCAGACCCCCTGCACATCACCCCCACCCACCCCTTTACAGTACACCCCCATTATTTTCAGCAGTCCTCAACCCCCCCTTCTAATCACCATCCCTGCCCCACACTACTGCTCTCTGCCCCTTCACACTCTCCCCCACACTACTGTCCTCTACCCTTTCACATAACCCCCAGCAGAACTGTGCCCCCTTCACATCCCTCCACAACACTGCCCCCCTTTACATCTCTCTTTCCACAGCATTGCCCCCCCATCTCTTCCAACAGCACTGCCCCACCCCCTCACATCACAAATCCCCCCCCCAACAGTAGTATTCTCTGCCTTTTCACATCACCCCCCCCCACACGCACACACACACACACAGCACTGCCCCCTTCACACCCCACCCCACTCCAGTGGTATACTCTGCCCTCCTCATAGCAGACACTCCCCCACACTTCACATCCCTACCCCACAGTATTGTCCTCTGCCCTTTCATATCCCCCCACCACAGCATTACCCCCCCCCCCCCCCCCTTAAATCTCCTCCTCCACAGCAATGCCCCCCTCCTCACATTACAAATCCCCTTTTTCATCACCCCTTCACAGCACTGCCCCCTTTACATCGCCCCCTACCACCTCCATATGCACACAGCACTGCCCCTCTTCACATTTTGCTCCTCTTTACATCACACACATAGAGTAGTGTCCCTGGCCCCCTCTTCACTCTCTTACCAGCACAGTATTGAACAGAGCGCGGGAACTGTCATAAAATTTCTACATCAATGCGGGAAGCACAACATAGCATTGAATAGAGCGCAGGAGCTGCGGGGGTTAACTTTTTGTATTAACCAGCAGGTGATTGGCTGCTAGGTGGCTGCTAGGACTGCCCTGCTTTCAATCAGCCGCTGGTTAACTTAAAAAGTTATCTTGGCAGCTCTCACGCTCTATTCAATGCTGTACTGTGCTTCCCGCATTGATCCAGAAATGTCATGACAGCTCCTGCGCTCTGTTCAGTACTGTGCTCTTATTCCACACTCGCTCCAGAAATGTTCAGTCTCCTGCTGTCCGCTCTGCTGGTATAACAGCAGTGGAGGATGGGGGGGGGAGGGGAAGAAGCGGCTCATAAATGGCGTGATCGGATCCAGATGAAACAGTGGCTAGGTCCGCATCTGGACCGCTGTCCGCCATTTAGTGATGCCTGTCCTAGAGTAATCATAGAGTAACATCACAGTGAATTTAAAGAACACATCAATAAGAATAAATATACAGCAAGTTAAAAAATACCTTTAAAAATCAGGTGTATGGTCTTATTTGAGAGGCTGTAACATACATTTATGAAAACAATACCCTACATTTGATTTTCAATTTATTTATTTATTTATTTCAGGTACTTCTATAGCGCCGTCAATTTACACAGCACTTTACATATATATTGTACATTCACATCAGTCCCTAACCCTCAAGGGGCGTACAATCTAAGGTCCCTAACTTACATTCATATACTAGGGACAATTTAGACAGAATCCAATTCACCTACCAGCATGTCTTTGGAGTGTGGGAGGAAACCAGAGTACCCGGAGGAAACCCACACAGGCACAGGGAGAACATGCAAACTCCAGGCAGGTGATGCTGTAGTTGGGATTTTCAATGCGTCCTTTTTAGCCACATGTACACAAATGGAGTCTCTTTTTGTACCTCACTTGCATAATCTATCAAAACTTCAAAGGCCCACTGGACTTGAAGTCAAGCTTGATCTTACTCCCTTGTCTGATTTGGCAATGCTGACTTGAAATGTAGCCTCATTGACAAATAATGCAGCAAAAGATGCTGTGCAACCCACAAACCTTCACTATAAAATAATAATAATGTCCAAAGTCCAGAGTAGGAAGATCTTCCACCAAATTATCCACGTGTCCCAATATCGCCATGCACTAATATCTTATCTATAACTGATCATCAGTGTTACTCATGCATACACCTCCCATGAACAGTATATGCTGACCACCAGACTAGATGGCTAGTCAAGGGTCACATGTGCTTGCGCCCCCTTCACGGGCTGCAAAGAGGATGGCTCCAGATGCACTCCACCACAGATGGCTCCCACTGTTCCACAGATCCTCCACTTACATAAGAAGTGCTATGTCATTCATGAAAGAAGAATAGGGACTGATAGTGCTCTCTGTACAGTAAAAACTTGTATTCAGTATTTAAAATAACACTCACTATTTGTGCATATGACAATAAAACAAATTTAAAAAAAAAAATGACACAAATCAGTGCACACACAGTGCTCTGTACAGCACATATG